TAGAATCAAGTTTTGGTTTAAATTATAAACTGGTTAACATTTACCTGGATAAAAATGTTTCTTTGAAGTTTCTCTTGGTTGGGAAGATTGGGAGCAGAGAGGGATGAGCAGAATTTTCTTGGCTGTAACCCTTTGTCTTGTCCTGTAGAGATTGAGGACTCACTGGTCTATTGGCCTCAGTCTAATTTGACATCTTAAACTTGATTTTCTATGCTTTACCCCATGTGTACCACCAATCTTCTTTCCCCAGTTATTCTGCACCTCTCACTACTCCCCCTCTACTTTGTTATTCTTTGTATGCAGTCAAGGAGAGGGGACTATGCTAGTCTAAATCTTTTCTGAAACTCTAGTATCCATGCTTTTCTAGCTTGATAACTGTGAGGTGGTTGGGTTTTTTTAAATCGTAAAATGGGTGGGGATGGATTGGGAAAAGCCAAGGAGCTATACTGTTTTGTTAGTATATACTGTATTGTTAGTTGCTGTCAGTTGATTTTAACTCAAGGTGGCACATGGGGTTAGTGTGAGTTGTATTGTTTTCCGGTTGATATTTGAAGAACTTCGCTTTTGGGTTTTGCAGATACCACAGGCATTTTCATTAATTCAGCTCTTAGGAAATAAAGTGAAATTACTTCTGGGCAAAGTACCTTTTAGCTAATACTTAAGTTTAAATTTTGTGATCTGTTTAATGGCTCCCTTGCCTTGATTTTGCTCTTTTGCTCATCCTCTAGTAATGAACTATTATTTTACTATTTTACAGAGTGCTGGTGATTTCAAGTATTTTTGCTGAATTTGTAAGACAGACACTTGGATGGTGGATTAACAAAAACATTGAAATTCTGTGAGAAGTTTTAAATTGGAGAAGATTGAGTTTTCACCCTAGTCCAGCAGCTGTGCTGCTCACTTAGATACAGATGAATGAAGACCCCATTTGGAAAGACACCTGGCCAGCGGTCCAGAGCTGATGCGGGTAGGCAATGTGAATATGAACAGACTATGAAGTGCTTATGGTTCAAAGAATATTTTGATATCATGAATTTAAAACAAATGAAAAGTTGAGGACTACTTTCTTGTAGTTTGTTTCCAGTATTTCACGGGAAACCAGAAATTTAGTAGTTAACTCGTTTATTCATATATAGGTTAAGAAAAAACAAATTAATTTCTTAAATTAGGGATCATATTAATATTTTTTATCTGATCTGAATTTACAGGTTCCTTGTAAACTTAGTAAGTGAATTGTAAATACTCAGTTAACATGCCCTAATAAAAGAATCATTTTCAAAGAAGTGAGTGAGGTGGTTAGATTTAATGGACTTTAGAATTATTGACAGCAATTTAAGAAAAAAGAAAAACATATATTTATGTATTTTTGTGAAGGAGCAATACTGTGTTAGGAGCAGTAATATTTTCAAGGTGCTGTAGAGTTTCTTTTTGAGTTAGTGGTACCATATGGCAGAGGAGAACTCTTTGAAGTTTTAGGGTTGTCGTCTTTACAGGAGTGGATCTCCAGGTCTTTTCTTTGGTGGTACCTCAAGGTGGGTTCAGATTGCCAACCCTTCTGTCAGCAGCAGATCTCTTAACCATTGTGCTACCAGGGCTTCTTATACTGATGTGGAATTGAAATGAATATCTGCTAGAGATTATGTTAAGTTTGCTGCACATAACTAATAGAAAAAGCATAGACTTTGCCTGGCTTTTTCTTTTTTAAAACTCCCAAAACAAAAATCTTACAGATAAGCTTGAAAATAAAACCAAACTCACTGCTATCGAGTCCATGCCAACTCTGGGACTGGGTAGAACTGTACCTTTGAGTTTCTAAGATTGTAACTATGGGAGTAGAAAGCCCCATCTTTGTTCCAAGGAGCAAGTGGTGGTATTGAACTGCTGACCTTTGGGATCGCAGCCCAACGCATAACTACTACACTACCAGGGGCTCCTACGCTATAAAATAGGTGTATGATCTTTTGTTTGAGATTTGTTATTTCAAAAACACATTTGAATATTGACAAAAATATGTCTTAATATTTTTAGTTTTTGGCAAATAAATCAGAGAACCATTCGCAATATTATTGATCTTAGAAAAGTGGTTGCCACAGAATTTAGAATTATTTTTTACATTTATTTACAATTGTGTTTGTAGTCAATTGCATGTTCATTTGTCATAAAGATTAAATTAGGATAGTGAATAGTGACTGTTAAGTCTTCTGAGAGCTGCTTATACAGAATCACAACTTTCTCTTCTTAGTTGTGTAAACCTGGTTACATTTCTTAGGCTTACTAGCTGTTTTCTCATTTAACAAAATGGAACTGCATGTACTTAATGAAGAGTAACGAGGTAATAGTGTGTGTCGAGTACCTGACTGAGGCCTTGGATATGTTATAGCTGGTGTGCAAAAAGTATTGGTCATACTATTTACAAAAAAGTATTTTTATTTCATATAATTGCTATTTTTTATTTCATATAATTGGGGGAAAATTACTATCAGTGAAACGTCCTAAAAAAACCAAAAGGCAGAAAATCCAAACCCACTGCCATCAAGTTGATGCCAACATAGTAGTCACCCGGTAGACTGAGTAGAACTGCCCCTGTGCGTTTCTGAGACTGTAATTCTTTATGGGAATAAAAAATCTAGTTTTTCTCCCAAGGAGTAACTAGTGGTTTCAAACTGCTGACTGTGCAGTTTGCAACTTAATTTGTAGCCACTGTACTACCAGGGCTCTTCTAATGACACCTTTTTAGGTCTCTGTTATTTGAAGTAGTGACTTACCAAAATTCAGAAGCATGCACACTATTCTGAATTCAATGCTTCTGTCTATTGATTTTGAAGTCATTTATTAGAAGGAAAGCAAGTTTATTAAAGTGGCAGTGTGTAGTGTGATTAAAAATAACTGTGTGTGTGTGTGTGTGTGTGTGTGTGTGTTTTGGGGTGGGGAATATTAAATTAGTTCCAGCTCATAATAGCTGTATGTACACTAGAGTAGAACTGTGTTTTTTTAAGGTTGTCAGTGACTGATATCTTTAAATTGTCAGGCCTTTCTTTTAAGGTGCTTCTTGGTGGACTTGAACCTCCATTCTTTGATTTAGCAGTAAGTATGTTAACTATTTAGAGGCACCCTGAGTAGCTAAAGAATTGTGCCATTGATTGACTTGTGTGCTCCAAAAATAAGCATCAACGTGTCTAAATTAGGATTACCAGTATTGTATGACTATTACTACTCTATGTGTTGTGAGTCCTAATTACTGTCCAGTTAATGAGGCAGGCATAAAGAGACATAGGTTATGATTAGGGTAGGATACAGCACCTTTACTCAGGCACAGAAATTTCCCTGGATGTGGCCTGCCTGCATCACCTTTTATCTTGTAAGAAATAAAAGAGGAAAGAGAGAAGTGAGCAGAGAAAGAACTTGCTTGCCACCAAGAAAGAAGAGCAAAGAATGACTGGCTGGCGGGTTTCAACTGCTGAGTTTTGTGTTAATAGCTGAAGACTTAACCACGTGCTGTTGCTGTTAGGTGCTGTCGAGGGGGTTCTGGCTCATAGCGGATGTACAGCAGAACAAAATACCACCTGGGACTGTACTACCCTCACAATTGTTCTTATGCTTGTGCCCACTGTGCCACTCCATCTTGTCAAGGGCCTTCCTTGTTTTTACTGCCCTTCTACTGTGCTACTTGGACTTGTTTGATTTAATAGGGAACAGCCAAGTCAAAACCTCGTACAACAATTTACATTAGCTATCAAGACTTGAAAATAACCATTGTTCTTTGAGATCATCTAAATAGTGGCCCTGCCCCACAGACTTTGGATATTGATTGTGCTTCCTGAATTCTTGGTCCAGAGCTTCAGCTCTCCCTTCCAGTCCCATTAGCATTGCAGCTTTGCTCCCTTGATTTTGAGCCATCTCGTTTTCCCAATTTTGAGTGTTGACTCCTACCCCTGTGCTCCACCAGGCCATGTTCTTCTGCCCCTTGATCAGGGAAGCCCAGCAATCTCAGTTTTGAGCAGAAATCTGGCCATATCCCCTTAGATCTTGTGAATGGCAGCCACGCATTCTAGAACCGAGTTGATAAGGATGGCCCCAAAGCTCTTAGCTCTCTTGTTCCATATGTCCTATGCAGTGTCACACAGTTTTCCTAGTCCTGCTATCTCATGGTTCTGCTGTCATTTCTTGCTATATACCATCTCTAGTGTACGGCTTTCTTTGCTTGCACCTTAGCCCTCACAAGAATCGCATTTGCTGTCCATAAGACCACCAACAGCCTCATTAAGGTCTTAAAAAGCTTCTAACCTGTACTCCTTACTCAATTCCAAGACTACTGAGGAGATAGATGTGTCATTTTACTTCCATAAAATTTTTTACAGCTTTGAAAACCATGTAAGACTATTCTACTCTAATGAAATGTAGTTGATTAATATAGTCTTATAGCCATAATCCCTTAAGTGATGCCTTATAAATTCTTGCCTCCTTGCCTAGGCTATAATCCTATTTTGGAGGGAGTTTTCTGCTGTGCTCATGAACAGTAATAAGGTGGCATGTATTCTGTGTCTCCATCTTACTAGAGGGTGTGAACCTGGTCATCACCTTTTGCTCCCGTAGAGGTATTGTCTCCTGAAAGACAAAAACCATACTTCCATCAAAGCTATTCCTCTTTGTATAAAAGCCATCTCAGAAGCACACAGAAATTCCAGGACCATGTGAAGAGCTACTGTGATCATGTGAAGAGCCACCAGTGTGGTTTCCCAAATGTGAGGAGCACATTTGAGATCTCTGAAGTGGTGGAGGATGTGGCACAGAGACCATGGGAGAACAAAGGAGCTATGTTAAGACCAGAGGTTGAGGTATGGAGACTCTGAGACAGAACTGAAGAGGAACACTGAGACTAAGAGTGTTAGGAGGCAGTGTGACAGAGAGGTGGGTGTCTTGGCTCACAGAGGCTTACAACAGTGGCTTCATGTAATATGTGACTAATGTGATTTGACTAATTTCACTCAGCATAATCTTCTTCAGGGCTCATGCTATGAGGTACATTGTGATTTTGTTGTGATTTTTTGCGAGGCATGGTATTCCATTGTGTGTACATACCAGAGTTTCCGTATCCATTTTGTCCAAAGGGCATTTAGGTTGTCCCCATCTTTTTGTTTTGAACATTGCTGCACTGAACATGGATGTGCATGTGTGTTTGTTATGGCCCTCTACTTCTTTAGGATATATAACTAACAGGGATTTCTGGATCATGTGAAATTTGTATTCCCAGTTTGAAGTGGAGTCATCGTTTTCAACCGTGGTTTTATCTGTCTACACACAGTCCCACCAGCAATGTATGAAGTTCCTATCTCTCTGCAGTCACTCCAGCATTTTATTTTCTGTTTTGTTGAACTTGCTATCAATGTTGTGTAAGGTGGTGTTTCATCATTTTGATTTGCATCTTCTGGATGACTAGTGATTGTGAGCATTTGTTCATGTTTGTGGGTCATTTGGATGTCACCATTGGTGAACTGCCTGTTCATGACCTTTCCCACTTTTTAATTGGAATGTTTGGATCTTATTGAGGTGTTAAAGTTTCTTAACAGTTTAAAGAATAGCCCATTCATTATTCACCGTCAAAACATTTTCTCCAGTCCGTGAGCTCTCTTTTTTTCTCTTTTGATGAAGTCTTTTGGTGCATGTATTGGGCTGCTAACCTCAAAGTCAGTAGTTCAAAACCACCAGCTACTCCTTGGGTGTGGAGGTGGAGGAATGAGGCTTTCTAAAAAAGTTAACAGTTTCAAGCCTGCATGGGCAGTTTTACTCTGCTCTAGAGGGTCACTATGAGTCCGAATTGACTTGATGGCAGTGACTTTTGGTTTTCTTTGCTGCACATAAATGCAGAAATGTATGAAATCCCAGTCATCTGTTTTGTTACCAACTGTGTGTGTATTTCCTTGGTTGCATTTAACAGTGTGTTTGTGCCCTGTAATAGGTCCCTTAACT